GGTGGTGGGTACCACTTTGCGGGTGCTTAGCAACAAGGCATCCCCCTGCTTCGCGTCGCCACGGCAACCGCGCTGGGGAGATGCCAGCGCACAAAGCGGGGGGGCACAGGGATGTGGGGGTTCGGTAGCAGGAGCGGGGGGTGCACCAGCACCCACGGCCCCGGTGGCGCCAACCCACCGGGCACCCACCAGTGGGGACCAGGGGGTGGGAGAGCCCCCTCCCCCCCAAAACTCCATGGGGCCCCCCAAAAGTGCCCTCTCCGGCAGCAGGGCCCCCCCTCAGCGACCGCCGGAGGTGAGGAAACGGCCCACGTCACCGACCACAGCACTGGGGCTGTTGCACCGGAAACCGCCCCGACAGCACAACCGCGGCAAAGGGGGGGCCAGCGCCCCCAACCCCCCCCCGGCGGCTCCCTGCGCCCCCCCTGTGGCCCCAGATGGGTCCCCGTGGTGGGGCCGGTGCTGCTGGGCCCAACCGGGCCCCTGGCAAGGCAGCGGGCAGGATCGGGCCTCGGCTGCGCCAGGGGGGCCGGGTGCTGGTGCCCCACAGTTTGGGGGTTGGCCCCGCTGGACGTGGGGGGCTCCCCGGGACCCCCCGAGCCGGGACGGGCACCCCCGGTGCAGCCGCGGGCACCACTGCCGGGGGCACAGCGCCGGTCAGGGAGGACCAACGTCATCTCCTGTCTGTCCGTCCATCCATCCGCCTGTCCGTCCATCCATCCCTCCATCCATCAGCCAGCCACCCGTCCACCTGTCCGTCCGTCCATCCCTCCGCCCATCCATCCACGTCTCCATCCATCCATCCGCCTCTCCATCCGTTCCTCCACTTGTCCATCCATCCGTCCATCCCTCCGTCCGTCCATCCCTCCGTCCGTCCCTCTGTCCATCCCCCCTGCCCACTCCCTGCCCATACCTTGCACCACGCAGAGGGACGCGGTGAGGCTGGCCCGCAGCCGCGGATCCGGCACCGTCTCCACCAACCGAATCAACTTATTCACGTGTTTCTTGGCCCCCTCGTGCCGCTTCACCTCTGCCCGGATGGCGGCCAGCACCTGCTGCCGGGGGGGGGTCATGGCACCCTTAGGTGCTGCCAGGGTCCCGCTGGGTCCCCGGGGTCATGGCTCAGCCCGGGGCTCGGCCCCGCTTGGCGTCGTCCCCTCCTCGGTTCATCCGGCCGCACCGGGCCGCGCTTCCTGGCTGGCGTCACCTCGGTGGGGTTGGCGTCACCTCGGTGGGGTTGGCGTCACCCCGGTGGGGCTGGCACCACCGGCGCCCGCCG